ATGTTGTTTCTTCGCACATTCAATGCCAAAATGTGGATAAGTAGAAAGTAAATTTTTTTTCATATTGCAGAAACGTTGTCGAGGTTTTGATCAGCGTAGACGAGGCATATCGCTCAGCAGTTTTCTATAAAGCTGATGACGAATCTAACGAAGACACTGAACTGTAAGTGGTGTTGCTTCTACTAACTTGTGTCAGTTAGTTATGTTCAACCCGGGCGTGTCTCAAAACATTGATAATGCCGCCTTAATTTGCTCGTCAGTGTTCCTTACCCACCATACCGATTTTCTACTTTCTCTTTATGCCAATTGCTGCTTTGAGCACGTGGGATCCCTTTCATTGGTATCACCGGCTTCTGACATCTTCCTGCCGTTGAATGCTGCGGAGCAAGCTTGGGTCATTTTGCGGGCAGCGAGTCAGCGGAGTTTTTCCAAATTTTCACAGTAAAGACATGTGTATCTCATCGTTCCAAAACATAGGGCTCTGCACCTAAATGCAGCCCCTTCGTGTAGCACATACGGATCGATCGCATGATCGATACGCATCCACTCCACGATAAAACGCAAGATTCCACTGTATGAGTGCGGCGTCAGCTGCTTTCATACTTACGCCGCTATGGAGTGTGCACAATCTGTGGAAGGCGCAAAAAGCGCAACTTGGTTATAGCACACATGTTGCGCCTTAACATAAAGCTGGCGCATGATGTTGATAACCACGGTAGCGCTTGGTTGAACGACCTTGTCCGCGCGCTAAGTATCGTGCGCGAGCATTCTGTGTTGACGCTTTTCGCGAACTCGCGCATTTCTCACATCGCATGCTTGCGCATGGTATAAAAGCAACCGCGGACAGTGGTCATACTCGGCAACCAAGTTGTCGCCGTGACTTTGACGCCTTGCCTATTGCATTGTTGCTGTTTTATCCGTGAACTGATGGCAGTATGGGGTGTAAACGCTTCCTATGACGATTGGTCCCGCCAAGAATGGCGCTGGTATTTAAATGTAAAGCGTCCCATTTCCAGTAAATGTGCTGCCAACCTTCGAACCATGGTACATGTAGGGGCAGACATATCTGCCCTTCTATCTATTAACCGCAGTTTATAGTTCGCGATCCTGAGGTCGCAAAATTTCAAGATTGCAGACCCTCGATGCATGTCCTTCGCTTCACTTTACTCATCATTTCTCTTTTCTTCGTCGTAAATTTATTGATTACCTAACGAGTAGGGGGGGGCTCGACTGTGCTCTTGACGTCACCGCTACAAGAGTTGACCGCACCTGACTGACTTCTTTGAGGTGTTCTTGTTGAAAGATTGTGAAATATTCTACGTTCTACTCATCCAATCCAATTTTCCCACTCTACCCATCTATCCATCCAAATTTTGGACGTGGTCAGCGCTTCGCGCTACCCTCCCTCCATCCGCATCATCACCCCCTCTCGGGCTTGCGCAGTAATGTCCATCTAGGTTGTTTCTTCGCACATTCAATGCCAAAATGTGGATAAGTAGAAAGTAAATTTTTTTCATATTGCAGAAACGTTGTCGAGGTTTTGATCAGCGTAGACGAGGCATATCGCTCAGCAGTTTCTATAAAGCTGATGACGAATCTAACGAAGACACTGAACTGTAAGTGGTGTTGCTTCTACTAACTTGTGTCAGTTAGTTGTGTTCAACCCGAGCGTGTCTCAAAACATTGTAGGTTGATCAGCTGAGGGTGAGATTGTTATTATAACTTTGGGATGCCGTCGTACGTGGTCTTCGGATGCCGATAACACCACCCAATGTCATAGGCGGATACTTGGACTCAGATTTCACAACCACGTCATTGCCTGAAAGCGATAGTAAAT